ATTCCTTTGCTGTTGTTTTTGCCACCTACTTTTATAGGTGCCTTGTCACAGGTGGAAATGTGCGGAATCTCTCACAACCATACCTACCCTGCTAATTTGACTTCTAGGAGCTTAATGTAGAGTCCTTGTCTTTCTGGAACCCTTGTTGCCTCAAAAACCTGTTTCATGTAGCTTAAACTATTACTACCATTAATGCTGCTGCTACTCTTCCTACTGTTACCACCTCTATTTGAGGTCTCTCTTATTTAAACATTTATTCTCCTGTCAAGTCAGACCCTGGCAACCAGATATTTCTTTAGAAAACCCTGGGGCCTGTTTGTTGCTTTTAAGATTCTTGATTTTAGTTTATAATCTGGGGAGACTAAGAATGTTTTAAAGCCATTCAGCTATAATGAAAACATTTTTTTTTGACCCTAGGTTCTTGGGGTGACATGTTTTGACCCTCTCATTCTAACCATGATTTAAATTCTGAATTTCCAGAAGCCTTATTAAAGATGTCAATTTGGGCCCCAGAATGGTAAATGTTCCTGTGAACTTTGACTCCTAAAGGAAACTCTCTTTTAAAAGAATAAAAGATTTTCCTGATAAATATGTTCCTCATTTGGGGCTAATACTTTCAGTCTGAAATGCTGGAGTGGGGAAGGGCAAGCCCGTTCCCTGACCCCACTTGCTCCCTCATTCTGTGATCCAGTGCTGCTTTACAACCCAGGGCATTAGCTTTTTATTTTGCCAAGATCACTTTTGTAACAGGATATAAATCTCCCAGTGCACACCTGATTAAATAGGCCCGTCCGTAAATAAAAAAAGAGGGTGGGCCACTTGCCATCATGGGGCTACAGGTGAGCCTGCCAGATACCCAGGGCTCAGAAGACTGAAGGGAACTCTTGGCTCTTTTTATTAACTTGCGAGCCAAGGTCATGCTACTTCTCAGGGCCTTGGTGATAAAATGCAAGCCAGGGGCCTTTCCCTGGCTGCCCCTCTCCTCCCTCTCATTTGCACAGATTATCCTACCAAGCTGCTACCTACCCATTGGAAGGCCCATTCTCATTGGATGACCACAGTGGCCACCGTCAGCAAGACACCGAGACTGGGGAGAGCTGAGTTGTGCTAACGCCTGTCCCATTACCCTTTCTATCCTCCTCTGTGTATGTGCCAACTTCATGGTCAGGACACTGACTACTGAATTTGCCCATAAAAATGTATCATATCATGCTCATTTCCTCAATTCTAGCTCCACACCCAACTTCTCAAGGAGACTGCTTTGGGGGAGAAATTCCTTCTGGAGAGTTTCTCTTACCGTATCACTGGCTCTGCCGTGTTCACCAGGCCAAACTGCTCACAGAGATAACTCAGCCAACTTCTGTCCTTTCCCAGGAATCAAACAGTTATTCTGGTATTAAGATATAATTTTTTAAAAGTGACACACCCAGCTTATTTTGGCATCACGTCCCCTCAAACCCTCACACCACCACCCTGGTCTGAGTGGTCGTGGGGGCCCTTGGTGACTTCGGAACCCGCGGACCAACTGCACCTTTGGAAACTAGCAGGAGGAGACCCGGTCCAAGCGCACAGGTCCTACGCAGCAGTGCTCTTCAGAGATGGCTAACCACTTTTGCACACGTTATTCCTCTTGATCCTCATACGTGGTGAGGTGACTCGGCTATCACGGACCCTGCTTTACTACAGGAAAACTCGGAGATGGAGAGGTCCCACTCCCAAGTGGCTCGGTTAGAATTCACCAGAGCATTTTTGCTGTCCTGGGAGATTCGTGGGCAGTGTTTCCAGAGGTTCCAGGCAGGTCCTGATAGTAGCCCACGCAGTAGTTTGGACAGGTGATCACGACCCACTTTGCAGATGAGGAGGCTGAAGTCTGGGGAGGCTGACTGGCTCTCTTAGGGACACAGCAGATGACAAGTGACACAGCTGGGAAACATATCCCAAACCTTCCAACTCCTAAACCAACACCCTTTCCATTACACCAGGATTAACGCCACAATCAAGAAGATCTCAAGAGCAAAGCTACTCGTTAAGTCTCTGTAGAGCTTCACCCTTAATATGATTCCAAATTCCCATGTCAATCAAGCTGCAGTTCCCTGGGGGAGATCTCACAAGAAGATCTCCTTTGGCTGGCTGTTCAGACCAGGCCAGGGAGGGCTTCGCAGCATGTCCCACACCTAGGGCACGCTCACCAACCAGTTGGGATCAGAGATACTGATGAGACCCGCGTTCTGCCATTGGTCGCGTTTTGCTGACTCCTGCCCTGAGTGATTGCAGAGTGCACGGGCTGGAACTCAAAGATGGCGTGAGTGAATGGATGGAGAGTGTCAGGTGTTGCTACGGACTGGCAGTAAAGGTGTCCCTGTAGGTGGGGACAGAGAGCAGAGGCAACTGTCCCTCAGAGCAGACACTGAAGGCAGGAGAGCGCGCTGTGGAAACCTGCTTGGATCTTGGATCGCACAGGAGAAGCTGCAGCGAGACAGAATGTACTTGCATTTGCAAAGGTCAGGCTTTAATTACATGCACAGTTAAATGGAAATGCTGTAGAGAGGTCACACTCATATTTCTTCGGCCTGCATTCATGTTATTGCTCCGTCACTTTTCTCTCTCCTTGGGTTTGTAAATGAAAGTTCCTTTTGTACATTTGAACAAAGGATTATTTATTTTTAATTGTTTTACCTCTGGAAGGAGAGGTTACTTTTTTTTTTTGGAACAGTTAAAAAAAAGAAACTTTGCCTATGCATTTCTTGCTAATTTATTTCAAACCCTGTGCTTTTTATAGTCTTATCTACTAATGCTTTTGATTAAAACACAAGCCAAAACCAGCCAACATGAACAGGTTGAATGCCACATCTGTGCAGAAGATAGCAGCGCACTTATTTATGACTCCAAGAAATGGAGCCTAAATTAAGCTAGCTATTGCTGGAGAGTGGATAAGCGGCCATTATGAATTATCCTTAATTATAGCGATTTCCTAAACTAATAAACCTGCTAAATCTTTATTGCAAAGGTTAGTTTACGCAGCGCATATAAAATCCGCATGTGCTTCGCATCAGACACCAGCTGTCTGACAGTGTGTTCCTATTTCCGTGAGTGTTCACATAAATTTTATGTTGGTTATATTAACAGTCAGTCCATATCACTACCCACAGATGCCAGCAGACATAAAAATTGCTCTCCAGTGAGCCTAAATATCCCTAGAAGCTAGTTGTGTCTAATGTTCCATGTAGTATTTGCACGCGAAAGCACCAGATTGGAGGGTTATTTACAGATGAATATTTCAATCCAGTTAGTTCATATAGGCCTACTTAGCCTTCTTGGCTGGTTTATTTGTATGCTAAATAATTCACCAAAGGTTCTTGTTTACTTTCTATAGTAGTTTCTATGAAATGCAAACAAGGAAGCCAACTTTAGGTGTTCACAAGGGTAAGCCGCTCTGTGTTTAAATGCAGGTCAGAGCAGCGAATGCAGCCTTGCCGGCGGGCTGTCACTCAGTTTTAGCCATTCTTCATCTTCGTCGTCTTCTTTTTTTTTTCCTTTCCCTTCCTCCTCCAGATATGACTGCAGCTTGCTGCTTTCATAGGAATTTTTGGCTGGGCTATCTTTAGTCCAAATTTATCTTTTTCAGTACCTGCTCTATAGGCTGCCTTCAGTTTACACAATTAAGCACTCAACGCCAGCAGCAAAGAACGCCTCCTTGGCTTTGAGAAGCGTCCCTGCAGTCCTCTGGGCTGACAAGAACAGGTCAGTCGTCAGCTCCTGAATGCCCTGTTTTCCTCCTCTTTTTCCTTTCCTTTTTTCTTTTTTTTTCCCTCCCCTTTTTCTCCTCCATGATTTTTTTCTGGTGCTTTTCCAAGTCTCAAGGTTTGAAAGGAGAGTAAGTAGCACCTTTCTCTTTTCCTGGAAAGCCCTGAGCCAGTCTGACCTCTGTCACCCTGAAGGACCAAGGAGCAAAGTCCAGCTGCAAATGACGTGACCTTTAGTGGCCCTCGGAGTGCATGTTCACCTGGCTGGGCAGGATCGCTGTCTTCCAAGGCAACAGTTACCTGGCCCTCTTGTTCAGATGTTCCCACGGCCCAGTTTTTATGTGAAAAGTATGTCTCTCCCCCCACATTTTGCAAATGTTCACGATCCTAAATATTTGCCCCTGAAGAGACTGGAAAATAGCCTCCTTCGTTTTCAGCCAGGCGCTGCCAAGATCGTGAGAGGGTTCAATAGCAGTGCTAACTTTTTATTTAATAATATTGATTTTATCATTTTTACTACTTACAATGGGGGTTGGTCTGCCGAGAGTTATCTGACCTCCCTTTGTGCATGGCTGTGGAGTGCTTCGTTAAAGCTATCGACATACCTCCCTCTTCCCCCATCCTCTTCCAGCAGCCCATCTCGGCAGATAATATTGAGATGCAGTAACTGTTCCCTGATATTGATTTCAGACCGTGTTCATCACCCCCTTCCCAGGGCCGGGCGAAGAGCAGCAGCCACCGTTCCGTAAACCCTTGCCTGCTGTAGGCTCAAGTGTCTTTTCCATCTTCTAGGCAAGAACAGCAACCATTTGTATTTCCAACCAAAAAAATTCCCCCAGGAAAATGAAAGCATTTTTTGATCTTGATTATTTTTTTACGCATACATAATTAAACTGATCTCTTTCATTTTAGGTTGAGCTTTTGCTGTCTTTTTTTTTTTTTTTTTTTTTTTTTTTAAGGACTACTAAAAGAGCCATAGGTCCCTGAGCTGGTAGGAGAAACTCTGATGATGTTTTAAGCTTCTGGGATTCAGGGTCTGGCGAGCTCGGGTCTCTCTGACCTTCGCTTCTTAGCCAGCTGGAACTGTTCTCAGCACCTGGGCCTAAAAAAAAACAAAACAAAAAGAAAGATTCTAAGTTTTGCATCTGTAGAGTCAGTAGAGATGACAGCTCATTTAAAAGAACCAGGGGGTCACACTCAGGGAGTGACCAACTTAATCCAGTGATTATAAACACAGCTATCCATAGGATGAACACGACAGACATGCAGTCTGGGTGGGTTTATCTGTTCATTGAGAAAAACACCAAATACTGAGCAAATAATACTGAAAATCCTATTTTATAGACCAAAAACAAAAGGGGGGGGGCAAAAGAGAATTTGCACCAAGAGCGATTGTATCTGGGTGCTGGCATTGTATTTAATTTTTCTTCTTTGGGCATTTCTCCATTTTCTAAATTTTCTTTGGGAATTAGAGAAGGAACTCTGCTCAGAAGTGTTATTTTTCAAAGTGGAAAGGTTAGTAGAAGGATTGGAACTCCAGAAGATTCCTGCCTGCCAAAGTGGCCGCGCTAGCCGAGGCTGAGGTTGACTGGCCGTGCTAATCTCTGTTCCGAGGGCAGCAGGACAGACATGACTCATCGACGTGCACCTGCCAGTTTGTTTTTGGCGAATCCAGTGGGGTTTGAGCCAGCCTTTGCCGCTGAAGCGTAAGTGCAAAATGGTTAGGAAGAAGGGCTTTGGAGTCAGACAAGCCTGGGTTTGATTGTTGGTTCTGCCTCTTGCCAGCTATGACTTTGAGCAAGTTAACTTTCTCTGTACCTCAGTCCCCCATCTGGAAAATGGGTTGTTCAGAGAATGAAGTGAGTTTCTGTATGGAAGCTCTTAACATAATGCCTGGCATCTAGTAGTCAGTCAATAAACTGTAATCATCATTACCGTCATCTCTATAGCAATTTCCTTATCAAACCAGAGCCATAACGGAAATTAGCATCCTCACAGTCCACAGAGCAGTGATTTTTTTTTCCCCCTGAAACCCAATTAGGACTCAAATGAGATCTGTCCAGTGTCTAATACATATCAGATTTCCAGGACAAACCTGATTTCTTTGTTTAAAGGCAATTCATTTTTAAAAGCATATCTAAATGAAGTTTGGTTTTTAGGTTTTTGTTGGGATTTTTAAAGAAATAAACAGTTATACCAGGAAAAAATAGTTACGGGTCTTTACTAGTGGTTCTGAAAATATCACCATACTGATGGTTCTTTAGCATCTTTAGCATCGAATGTACCCCTCCCCCAAACACATACACACACACACACCCTCCTCTCTGAAGTAAGGATTCTTCCAGGAAAACACTAGATGAATGTAATTGGAACCCTTAGAATGTCATCTCATTTTCATCCTGGGGTCAGTCTGGCTATTCCATTTGTATGATCAGAAGCACTTTCTAATACCACGGATGCCATAGGAAGTCTTCCCTGCAGGCAGTCATCTTCAGGGCTGAAAGCTGAGTATAAAAAGCAGCTAAATTAGAGACTTTACACAGTTGCTGGAACCGGCTTAATGAGAGACAGCGAACATTTTGCAGGCTACTGAACTTCTGAAATGTGACAATCCAAGCAAATGAAATCATGGTACCTCTCATTGTAGTTTAATTGGACTCAAACTTGGCACGAGGGGCTGCTGAAAGCTGTATTCACGGAGAGAGACAGGAATCGTGCGTGCACCAACGAATTCAGCCCACACAACGCATCTTCCAACTGTCCGAGCTCCATGCTGCTCTCAGGGCTGACTCTTGTGGTCCAGAGAGAGAGAGAGAGCTACAGCGAATAAAAGCAAGAGATTATAAGGCAGGCCAAATCCTGGCCTGGTGGATGGCGTACCCGTCACCCTGAGTTATGCACTTGAAATAGCTCAGCCTCATGGCAGCCTGTACAGGCCAATTTATTTTAAAGAGGCAAAGAGAAGTGAAACAAACTTAGGCCCTCTCTTCTGCCTGTTAGGGTGTCAACATATCAGTGTCAAGGAGTCCTCTTAACAGAAGGGTGAGGATGAGTTGAGCATAAACACTAACAAGAGAAGAACTGAGCACAGACCTCCTGTTGAGTGGAGCTAAGTGGGAATCCCAGTCGAGTAACCCAAAAAGCAGAAAATTACCACAGCTGTCAGGAGTGGGACCAAAATCCTGTCAGGCAACATTACAGGGAATGGAAACTTTAAGGGAAAGGTATGTTTTGAGGGGGAATGATCGGAAGAAGCAGATCGTTTCAGGATGTGCCTGTCCAGAGCCAGGAGGAAAGTTTGGAAGGGTCTCCCAGCGTCCTTGTCTGGTCCCAGTATCCTTTGCCTTCTCGGGGTTGAAACTGATTGTCTAATCCCAGCCTTGTCCGATCTAACCACCCCACCCCACCACTGGAGTCCACGTTTCCTGTTATTATAGCTCTCGGTTTTAGCCAGTAAGGCTAGGAGAGTGGACAAATTGGGTGCCGGCATGTAACAGACCATCCTGGACATTGATTTTTGAAGGTTCATTAGATAAATGCTGACATCACAGATTGATGTCTCTTTAAACCAGTACCTAGTGCAGGACCGTTCAGGGAATCAGAAATATTGATGTAACATGTTTGAGCAGAAGGCCCACTGGAGAATTCCCCTGCCTAAGTGGGACCCATCAATTTAGGCTTTCTTTAATTATTCTAATTCTGTGCATCTCTGCGGAAGGGGAGTTTGTCTGCAGAACTGGTTTTTATGGGGAATGCTGCTCCTACTTTAGGGGCCAGGGAAGGCCAGACAGGGTGTGCGGGTCTATTTTTCATTGTTGTTTTGAGCTGCTGTTTCGTAATTAAAATTTTTGATCAGAGCCTAATTTTCCCATACAGTGTGGCCGTGGCATTGACAAGGGACTGATTAATGGGCCGACCCCGGGGCCAGGAGGCTGCTGGGTTGTTCTCTGGTGGAAGGCATGCCGGCAAAATAAAGTTGATGGTTTTGTTTGTGTTTAACCCTTCACCTTGGCACTATCAATAGATTGAAGACATCATTTGTATCTGCAAGTGTTTCTTTAATTAAGACCTTCTAAAAATCTTTCCTATTGATTCATTCCATTATCCTATTGATTAACTGCAGTGGATCATGTACTTGGTCTTCAGCGGAAGGCAACAGTCTGGGCCGTCTGTCATGACTACAGATGCAGACCGCAGGCGGCTAGCATCCAGCGCCCAGGGCTGGCAGGAGTGTCTTGCGTTCTAATGAGGCATCGGCGGTGGCTCGGTGGGGCTCGCTGAACACCACGGAGAAAGCCAGTGGTCTCCTGCTGGAGGGGTGGCCAAGCATAAAGCATTCCTTCTAGTCATTTATACTGAAGCCGCTTAGCGAGCCAGAGGTGGGGAGGGGAGGGCAACTGGCAGGCTTGAGTAGGGGGGAGGGGAAGACAGATTCTGCTCTGCATCTGAATTTGGAAATTTGAGCTTTGGAACAAAAGCGAACTCAGAAATCTTGGTTCAGAGATGGCTGTTCATGGTCCTGTGTCCAGGCTGTAGGTTTGTGCCCCCCACCCCTGCCCCTTCCCCACGTTAATCAGCCTCCTCGCCAGACTGGCTGCAGGTGCCACGAGGGGTTTCCTGTTTTAGAGGAGCTCCCCAGCTCCTTAGTTCCAGAAGAAGAGCTGGCCACATTCACCATCTGCCTGGACGGGGTCTAAACCATCCCCTAGTATTAAAAATGAAGAAACCTCTGCCTGAGCTTACATATTGTGTTTTGAAATATGCCTTAATATTCACAGTCCCAAGAAATTATATCCTGGCTGGAGTTTGAAGAGGGCAGGACTTTAGAAGGCTGGAGTTTGGTATGCTGTGATATGCAAAATCAAATGAGATAATACACAACTGAGATAAAGCACTCAGCACATAGTAGGCACTCCATCAATAAACCAGTCATCCTTCACCTGCCCCAGATTCATTTTTCTTCCTCTCATACAGATCCTATCCCATCCCTCATGCATTCTCTGCCTCCCCATCCTTCAAATGGATCTGAACAGATGGTCACCTGAAGGGTCAGGATCTCTTCCTTCCCGAATGGAATCCAGCAGAAAAGGAGAAAAATGTAGAAGAGATGGGAGGCAGATTAAGTTAGAAGAGATAAAAGAATGTCTCTCTGCTTTGACTCTTTTGTAAGTAAAACAATTAATTTTCACTCTCAGAGTGAAAAACCCCAAGACTTTGAAACATCTCACCTAAGCAAGGTCATAATGGTCTTTATGTTCATAGTCAAGCTTGGCCTAGGAGTTGAGTAATGTGTGTGTGTGGTCCCCAAGTTCATGCCAGTGGCTTTGTGGGCCCTGAGAAAGGAAGTCAGAAGGTCTGTGTGTGTGGAGAAGGTGGGGGTTGGGTGGTTGCTGGGAAGAAATCTTCTTTTGAATATGAGTATTTAAAATAAGAATTTCCCCAATTACAGAATTTTAAGTGAAAATTAACTGCAAAGTCATTGCTCATTTGTGGTCCTCCTTTCAACTGTTACGGTAGCCAGTTGTGCCAAACCAAGTGCTCAATTTCGCTTGGCACCAAATGTCACAGTTCTGGTGTCCTGCATTCTGTCCAGTGCATTAACATGGTGTAATGAACACTGTTTTCTCAGGCCTGGGGCCTGACCATCCTAAAGGCCACTTCCAACCTTGTCAGCTTTTTAAGATGCCTTATTTCCAAGTGTCTGTAAAATCTGCCATTGTGTGGATACCCCCAACTCTTCTCTAAAAACAGAAGAAACTTATTTAGATCTAAGTGTACTGTCTATAAAGTAAATTATTTTGAAAATAGGGTAGGAAACATTTTGAAATAAACCCAGTATTTCTGAGTTTGCATCTTCAGTGAGCATGTTTTAAATTAACATGTAATCTGTGCTCAATGAAATAGTTTTTTGAACACTTAAATAAGTATAAAACAGAAAAGAGAAGTCTCTTTTAATCCCACCACCTTGAGAGAACCACTCTGAATATTTTTTAATGTATTGTCTCCCCATTTTTTTTCAAAGTGTGCATCCATATATACATGTATACTTTTCAAAGCAAAATTAGGATCTTTTCGCTTACTAGAGCATCAGCAGTTTTTCATATCTTTAAATATTCCCTGGGAAAATGATTGTTAATAGAAAGTAGAATTCCCTTGTATAGCCACACCGTGTTTATTTAATTTTTCTCCTGTTGTTGAACATTTAGGTCGTTTCCTATTCTTTTGCTTATCATATAAAACACTGGGATGAGTATCCCTGTCTCAAAATTTTATGTGGATTTTATTACCCCGGGATAAATTCCTAGCAATTGAATTACCGAGTCCAAGAATATGCACATTGTAAGGGCTTCTGACACGTATTGCTAAAATATTCTTCCAAAATGTCGACCCAATTGTGTAGCCACCCCCAGTAGTCTGTGAGCATGCCTGTTTTCCTGTACCTTTATCAGTACTGGTAATTTCGTGCATGCGTGTGTGTGTGTGTGTTTGTGTGCGTGTGTGTGTGCATGTGCAAACTTTTTCAATTTGATGGATTAGGAAAAGGATCTCCTTGATTTCATTTACATTCTTTTGATTACTAATGATGTACAAGTATCTTCTTATATGGAAATGACTATTTATATTTCTTCTTTTGTGAAATATTTGTCCAGGTCTTTTGCCCATTTTTATGCAAATGTTTAGCTTTTTCTAATTGATTTGAAGAATTGTTTTCTTTTTAATTGAAAATTGTGGCGCCTTTTCATAGATGCTCAGATGAGATTGTTACAGATAATCAGATCAGATTTTTCATGTAGACATTAAGCAGCGTTTGGAATACCTTGATAGTGGCCATGCTATTAGTGCCGTTTTAATTTTTTTAAAAAAATATGACTGTTGGCCTCTGATAAAAAAGATATATGGAAAAGAATCTGACAGTGTCAATCCAGCTCAAGTTAAGTATCCCAGGACACTACCAGCATTTTATTACAGTTGTCAAAAAAAAAAAAAAAACCAACAATTTTATTGTTTTGATTATTGAGATCCAGCCACAGATCAACTGAGCAATTAAAACCTCTAAATAACATTCTCTGAATTGTCAAACAAAGGATTCGTTCCCAGTGGAAAGGATTTTTTTTTTAAAGAAGATACTTTTCTCTGTAACGTCTGTGCCAGTAAATGGTCGCACTAATTGGAATATACAGAAATATTTTACCAGTTTAACAATGCATGACATCCTAATAAGATTGTGATGACAGCTTTTCTTTTTATGAAAGGTGATGTTACTGCATGCTTCTAATATACATGGGCTCATGTGTCTTTTTATGACATGTTATAAATGAAATGTTTAGGAGAAATTAATCTGCTTTCCCAAATTTTTCCGTGTGTATGAAATTTTTTCTTTTAAAGCAGGACCAGAGAATCTCGATTTCTGTTGTTTTTCTTTTAAGTGCTTGGAATAATATATTTTAAAGCATCTTGGAATGGAATAGAAAAGGATCACGATTAAATGCATATTAAACTGCTTGTCCCAAATCCCACTAATCTGCCACTAGAATGTGTGAAGGCAGAGTCCCTGTCTTCCCTAGCTCAGGTGGCTGGCTGAGTGCAGGCTTGGGACAGTTAATGACAATCTTCCAAGACAAGCAGGACTTAACATCAATATCCCCCTCTCCCTGATAATCTATATACTCTGGAGGTGGTGAGCTCTGGCAGGGTTTTGATGATTTTATGATGGCTTGTGTATATTTACAGTGTGTTTAAAATACTCTTTTTAATTATCATTTGAGTGACAAAGCTTAATCTTTCGATCTTTATCTGCACCTCCTGCTGATGTATGTTTGTTAGGTAACTAAAACGCGGAAATTTACCAAAGCCCGAGCTTTATGCCAGTCATGAGACGGAGGAGTCAATAGTTGATTAACCTGCCTTTCTCCTCTTTATGAGAATAAAGGAGTCACTTTATAAAATCTTTGAAGGCGGCCCAGA